TTGCAGATTTTCCAAAAATTTTCTATGAAAAGACATCAGTTTTAGTATTTGTTATCAAAATAGACGTATTGAGGTAAAATATATTTAAATTACAAGACTGTAGTACAAACGGTGCGCCCTTAAGAAATTTTTGAATCAGACATTATAATACAGGAACAACTGAAATAAGTTTTTTCGGAAATTTGCAAATATTTTAAAAAATTTCTATGAAAAGTCATTAATTTTAGTATTTGTTATCAAAATAGACATATTAGAGAATAATATATTTAAATTACAAGACTGTAGTCCAAACGGTGCGATATTAATAAATTTTTGAACCAGGCATTATAATATAGGCACAACTGAAGAAAGTTTTTGCGGAAATTCGCAAATATTTCTAAAATTTTCTATAAAAAGATATCAATTTTAGTATTTGTTATCAAAATAGACATATTAAAGAATAATATATTTCAATTACAAGACTGTAGTACAAACGGTGCGTCCATAACAGAATTTTGAATTAGACATTGTAACGCAGGCGCAACTACAGAAAATTTTTGCGGAAATTAGCAGATATTTTCAAAATTTTCTATGACAAGACATCAATTTTAGTATTTGTTATCAAAATAGACATATTGAGAAATAATATATTTAAATTACAAGTTGGTAGTACAAACGGTGCGCCCAACAGATTTTTTTTTAAAAAAAGACACTATATATTTCTCTCCAACAGATTCATTACAAAATTTAATTAGATAAATTCATCAACAAGTCGCTCACGATTTATTTTTTTTAATTCGTTACATACGAAACAATTTTGCAAAAATTATTCATTTACCAATTAAACCGACTCCTTTATTAACATAAATTTGATCTTTAGCCATTTTTATCAAATGAGTCATTCGTTTCGTAATAATTCCATTGAAAATGACCTGTAGGATTTTCGCCTTAGAATTCGTACATTCGATTTCCAGGAACAAAATAATAAAATATAATGACTAGTCACAAAACAGACCAATTGTTGATATAAATAATTAATGAGATGATTAGAATATCGAAAAGTACACAATTAAGATGAAAAATGTAAATAAAAGATAATAATATTTGCATATGCAATTGAGATATGCACTTTGAATAGGAAATTGAATCGGTTGCGGATTTTTTTTATTACGAATACAGAAGTAGTTTGAAATTATTATTGTAAATACAAATATATATATTATTAAATTTTGGAATCAGAAAATCTTGGACTATACCTGGTATTTATAAATTGGAACAATTTCTGGAATTAACAGATTTTTTTGTTGACTAGTAAATTCTTTATGAAATTTGCTTGAAGTCTGTGTAATTAAAATTCTCACAAAATATGATAAAAAATTGTGATCTAAACAACATGTAAATTGTACCATAAAAATTTGTTAATCCAAGATTTTTTTATATTTTGCATCTATCCCATGAGGAACATCAGACAATTCTTCAAGGTATAATTAAAAAAAATAGTTAAAATAGGTATAAATTTTATAAATAAAAATTTTCATAAATTACTCAAAAATGTAAAAATAAAAACAAAGTAGTATCGTATAATTTTATCTTATTTTGTTCCTGATTTGTAATAAAATGCGAATGCATTTCTTATCAATCTGTTTGCGCGTTTCTTATCAATAATAAATCAATCAGCTTTGTTTATAAACAAATGTTGGACAATAATTTTTGTATTGTTTTTGTTTTTGTATTTATTAACAAGTCATTCACATTTGAATTAAATTAATCACAATTAGAAGGAAAAATAAACTGAAATTTTGGCAAACAGAAAAAGTAATATTAATAATAATTAAGTTGTAATTTTATAAATTGCATTGCATTTTTTAATTTTTCACTAAACCACGTACATGTTTAAATGTTTTAAAAAATATATATTAAAGTTTAAAATAAATTAATAATTTGGTAAAAAGTTCATACGATTTGGTTCGACTGGCTTCATAAGAATATTATTACAAAATGTTTTTACATTTTATTACTTTTTGTCCAAATTTTCAAGTCTTAAATAAAATCTATTATAAATTATATACCTGGTTTTCTGTTTAATCCAAGGACAATACTACAAAAATATGCAAAAACATTTATTTTTTCCACTTTTTGCACCTTTGGAATTATTTCCAAAAACCTTGCACAGGTATAAAAATCTATGGACAGATGTTTTAATTTGTATATTATTATTTGCATAAAACTTGTAATAAAAGTTTTATTCAGAAATTATTAAAAGAAATCAAATATTTCCAAGAAAATATAAATATTGTACTATTTATGAAATTATTACATTTAATTTAAGCTAATTAGATTTAATATAAATAAAATTAAAATGATTTCAAATATTTTCTGAAAATGTAAAATTTGGACAAAATAGTTGAAAAATAATTCACTTAAATCTCAAAACTGTTTAGTATTATTTTTTGGAATTTTTTGTTTTTACTTTAAAATATTTTTCCCATGCAACAAATTAAATGTTAATTTTTTTCAATTAAATGAATTTTCTTTGCAAATATTTAAAAATGTACCCAAAATTGTAAAAATTATATAATACAGTATTAATTGTTTAAAGTTTAAAGGATTTTTTTCTAGTTTTTAAAAATCAAGATATTCTTATAAGAATATGTGTATTATTTTTTGAAAATTATAAAAATAAATTTAGAAATTATAAATATATAAATTTATTTTTAATTCATAATAAATAATATTTGTACTACTTTATACTATTAAATATTTTTCTCAATATTTCTGAACAAAATTGTAACTACACAAACATTTAAGAAAATACACAAAATTTTAATATAAGAATTACATTTTGAACCTTATTAAATTAAATAAAAAAAATAAAATTCATTCACTTTCATTTAAAAATGTTACTATTTTAAATAATTTAATTGTTATTAAATTAAATATAAAAATTGTATTATTTTACTTTTTGTTAATTTGAAAATATTAAATATTCGACACTTTAAATTAAAAATAAATAAATTAATATTTATTATTAAATATTACATCATTTTCAATCACTTTAAAATTTACACTATTTTTTATTAATAATATTAACATATATTTTATCAAAATTGCAAAAAAAATATTCAAGAATTCGATAAATAAATTTTAGTAGTTCAGTTTATATTGAAAATTATTTATAAGTTAATTATAATTAATTATTTGTTTATTATAATATCAAACTGTATTATTATTGTATAATTTATAACACTTTAAAATAATATATAATTTAATTTAAATTTTCACACAAAAACTTTCCTATTTTTCAACACGAATAATTTGAAATAAAATTCATTAAATAGTATTTTTATTTAATAATTATTATTTATTTTAAATTTTAATATTTTAAATATTCATTTTAATAAATAATGTATATAATAAATTAATTGTATATTTAACAAATTATTCAGAATTATTAGGAGAAATATTCAAAAGTGAAAAATATTGAAATCATTACTAATTATGAATGAAAAATATATATGCAACTAAATTTTTGAAAATTCTTGAAAATTCTTAAAATTTTTTGAAAAGTTACAAATTTATTTAAAGGTTTTCTAAAAAATATCTTAGAACATCTTAGTAATAAAATTTAATTAAAATTCTATATAAAATTATTAGGTGATAAATTTAAATAATTCATACTTTTATATAAATTTTAAAATTATATAGATTAATTTATATACACGTACGTGTGGTTTAGAAATAATTTAAAAAAATAATAAAAATAAATACAAAAATAAAAAAAAATATACAAAACTCGAACAAAAATATATAAGTAAATTCAATTAAAATTAAAATTGGAACTATTAACTAGTTCTGGAAAACTATTTAAAAACTTTAGAAAACTAATGAAGATAAAATATAAAAATGAATAAATATAAAATACAAAAAAATAAATATGAAATTAGCAAAAATTATAATTTACTTGAAAAAATCCAGTGACTTAACTTTTAAAATATTATTTTGAGTTAATAATTAATATTAATAAATTAATCGTATATTTAACTATTTGTTCAGAATTATTAGGAAAAAATATTGAAATTATTACTTATTATGAGTGAAAAATAAATTAAATAAAATTTTATATGCAACTAAATTTTTCTAAACAAATTTTTAGGTAATAAATTTAAATAATTCATAATTTTATATAATTTTTAAAATTATATAGATGAATTTACATACACGTACGTGATTTAAAAATAATTAAAAAAATATTTAAAATAAATACAAAAATAAAAATAAAAAGTAATAAAATATGAAATAAGGAACGTTCAAGAAAACCGTCTGCATTAATTAAAATCATTCGGTCTATTAAAAAAAAAACATTAAAAATGTATATAAAATTTGGAAATAAATTTAATAAATATTATATAATAAAACTTGTATTTAGATTAATATAAATAAATAAAAACTAAAACCGTTTACCACCAGATGTTCCGTCCGACCATTTCCTCAAATTTGAAATTTCAAACCGATACAAAACATTTATTATTACCAAAACCAAATATTATACAATCCTCCGAAATATAGCAAACACTTCCCATTGTTTTCAACAAAATAAACAACCACATTTTCAAATTAAATTCACATTTATTTATATGCATAAGTATAAGTATCGTCCACGTTTTCGATTTCACACGACGGCGCATGTAGCGGCCTTTTAGGCGGCAACATGCCACGTATGGCGGAGAACTTAGAAAAATGATTTATTTTGGGTAAAAATTGATAAAATTGGAAATGACATGTGGGGTAATTGATAGATAAAGGATTTATGTGGGTTTTGGTAATAAATTTAGGTGTTTGTGTGTGGTTTTGGTGTGTAAATTTGATACAATATGGGTAGGAATATGAGATGTAAGAATAAAATAAGAATATAGGATTATTAATGTTACCTGGATATAAGCGTTAATCCCAAAAACAAGTGTGAAGTTGTCCCGTAAACGTTAAGTATAAGTCTGTGTGCACTTTTTTTATTAAACAAAATATTTTATTACTATTCACTAAAGTTTCTTCCTCACGCACAGCACGCTTGTCGATAATGTTTTAAACAAACTGTTATTTATATAACTTTGTATTAACAATTGCGAATTATCATAAATTCTTACAATCTTCTTCGATTCTTCTTGAGCACCTTGTTTAGCAATAGTTGACATTTTTTAGCGAAAAAAACAAACAAATCTCGTGGAAGAGACCACCGGTGTTGATAAATTATTAAAAATATCGGGCACGTTATTTTTTCACATTTAATTTAGTTATTTCATTTACTCGTGCCAACTCAACTACTCGCCGCCCAAGAATGTACTGAACGGCCGACTCGGAGGATTCGTGAAAACGTGTTTGTGCGCAAGCGGACTTATACACTTGCGGTAAGTAATTGATGAAATTTAGTAAAAAATACGTTTTAACAACACTTGGGATAATACACATTTTAAAGTACAAAAAATTCCCTGCGTTTTGATATAACTTTCAACCTTTGCAACAAAATATTTACACATTTAACTTGTATTACCATCCCGGCACTACTTTACGACGCGTAGTAAGACGTGCAACACCAAATCGCTGAATTTCTTAACAAAAACGTTATATCAGCCCACAAAACTTACACCAAAGCATTCACAAATATTTTTTACACATTTCCACATAAATCTGTACCTTTGTAAATTAGTTTTTAACCGATTTTTTACTAATTCTGGGACTATTTTTCGTCATGTAGTAGCCGGCCTAAGTGTGCATATGTGTTAGTGCGTCTGCATGGCTGCGTGATTGCGTGTTCGAGCCGGTTCGAGTGACCGGCAAAGGCATGTTGTACGTTCCAATAATAATATGGACATTTTGAAAGGATTTGGTAAAGGATATATGTTAAAACGATTGTATATTTGTTGATAAAAATGCGTTTTTTGTTTTTTTTGAAGGTTTGTCGGAGTTTTTGTTATTCATTCATGATTTTTTTGAGGGCGCTTTGCGTGAATTTCCTAGAATTTTTGCACGGCGTCGTTCCCATTTTCTAGGAATTATATGTAAATTGATTCATTGATAAAATGTTATGATTTTTTACTAGGGGGTTTCTGTAGTTTTTTTTGTAATTATTTTGAACAAATATGTGATTTATTATTTTTATTATTAGGCATTTAAAAAAAAAAACATTAAAAATACATTCAATGGAAATTTATAAAACATAATTTATTTTTAATGATTTTATTTTAATTTTTGCACGGCGTCGTTCTTATTTTCTAGGAATTATATGTAAATTGATTCATTGATAAAATATTATGATTTTTTTACTAGGGGGTTTCTGTAGTTTTTTTTTGTAATTATTTGAACAAATATGTGATTTATTATTTTTATTATTAGGCATTTTTAAAAAACATTAAAAATACATTCAATGGAAATTTATAAAACATAATTTATTTTTAATGATTTTATTTTAATTTTTGCACGGCGTCGTTCTTATTTTCTAGGAATTATATGTAAATTGATTCATTGATAAAATATTATGATTTTTTTACTAGGGGGTTTCTGTAGTTTTTTTTGTAATTATTTTGAACAAATATGTGATTTATTATTTTTATTATTAGGCATTTTTAAAAAACATTAAAATTACATTCAATGGAAATTTATAAAACATAATTTATTTTTAATGATTTTATTTTAATTTTTGCACGGCGTCGTTCCTATTTTCTAGGAATTTTATGTAAATTGATTCATTGATAAATTGTTGTGATTTTTTACAAGGGGGTTTCTGTAGTTTTTTTTGTAATTATTTTGAACAAATATGTGATTTATTATTTTTATTATTAGGTATTTTTTTTTTAAAAAAAAATACATTTAATGGAAATTTATAAAACATAATTTATTTTTAATGATTTTATTTTAATTTTTGCACGGCGTCGTTCCTATTTTCTAGGAATTTTATGTAAATTGATTCATTGATAAATTGTTGTGATTTTTTACAAGGGGTTTTCTGTAGTATTTTTGTAATTATTTTGAAATAACAAATATGTGATTTATTATTTTTATTATTAGGTATTTTTAAAAAAAACATTAAAAATACATTTAATGGAAATTTATAAAACTTTTGATTATTTTAATTTATTCTTAATGATTTTATTATAATGGTTAAATTTATATTTAAAGGTTTTATTGTATTTTTTATGTTTGTTAGTACTTTTAAAGGTAATAATTAAAATAATAAATAATCTATCAATATTTTCATATTTTTTTAAATATTTTTTCTTGTTATTCTTAATATGCTGTAACAAATAAATGCCTAAAATAGCAATTTTTAAAGTTAAAATTAATTCATTTTGATAAATTTCATAAAGAGTGAGTTTTTTTTATCATTCAAATTATTCTTTATAAATGTATAATATATAATAAATAATTGCCTAAATTATCCATTATTAATAATTCGTATTAATAAAGTTCATTAAAACTTTTGGGTTTTGTTTTAAATACTTTTTTTTTAAGTTTTTAATGTCTAATAAAAATATTTATAAAGAGAAATTCGTATTTATTCATAATTTTTCTTGTATTTTTATATATAATAAGAATAAAAAAATCCTGCTTTTTTTACAAACAAATATAGATTGATTCACATAAACAATTATTTATACAAATAACATTTAAAAAAATTCATAAATTCGTAATTTTATCATTTTATATTAATTCAGTTCTTCGAAAATTAAAATAAAATTAAATTTTTAAAAACAAAAAATTTATATAAATTAATTAGCTAATGAATTATGTTTTATTTTTATAAATTTTACTGGAATATATTAATTTATTCAAACAAATTATTGAATTCAGGATAAAAATAAAGATATAATTTCAGGATATAAATAATTATTATTGTTAGAATAATTTTTAAAGGTAAATTTTTTTATAAAAATATATGTATTTATTGATAATTATTAATATTTATAGTTAAATTATTTGAAGAATTTTTTTAACATTATTTATATTAATATTTTGAAAATTTCAAAAATTTATCATTTTTATTACATCATATTAATTAAGTTCTTTGAAAATTAGAAGGAAAATTATATTGTACATTTTTTAGAGAAAAATATATAAATTTGTAAAAACAGAAAAATATGTAAACTGATTGGTTAATTAATTAAGTTTTATTTTTATGAATTTTATTTGATAATTTACTTGAAATTAAAGAATTAATGTTCTACATCTGCATTAAATTTAATTTAGGATAAAAATAATTGTAATTATAATAATTGTTAGAATAATTTTAAAGGCATGTTTTATTGGTAAAAAGTTTTACCTATTTTATTAAACTAATATATGTAATTTTTTTATAGCTAGATTATTTAAAAATTTCTTGTATTTTTTATGATTCTCAACTCAGCAAGAAAGTTTGTTTTTAATTTTAAATGAAATTAATTAAGTTCTTGAAGTCATTCAGAATGAAAATTATAAGTTATTTTGAATTAAATGTTCTAGATTTTTTCTAAATAATTTATAAAAAAAGCAAAACAAAGAAATATTATCACTTTTGTTTAATAAAAGTATGAATTTTGCTGTGTTTGAAATAAATACATATAAATGCAAAAATAAGAGAATGCAAGGTTTTAATATTAGTAAATACATTTTTATATTTTTTATCAAATTCCCAATAAAGTATTTTAAATTTCTGCTAGAAAATCCGATTTTGATCCGATTGTTGATTTTACAATTTCTTGATGTTTCAACTCGTTTTGAATAAAAATAATGATTAAGTTAGCCATAATTAAATTTAAAATTAAATCAGATAAAATTTTTACTTATGTTGAGTGCTATAATTTCAAAAAATATTATTCATATTTAATTATGAATGATATTTTCTGTTCTTAAGTTCTGTAAAAGTGCAAAATATATAAATTGTTGGGAATATCTGGTTTTTATAAGTACATTTGTATTTATTTTGTTCGACAATTTTAATATCCTTATCTATATAAAATAACCTTCAGTACAACAGACTACGTAGCCAAACAAATACATCTATTATGCTTTTATTCAATTTAATAATATATACATATGTATATATATATATATAAATAAATTTAACATATATCATATGTATGTATACACATTTATAAATGGTTTGACTATTTCACAATGTTAGCACATAAAGTACGAGTATTTCACAATATTACCTAATTCTACAAAATTGATCAATATTTACTACGGTTATGCAATGCAAAAGTCTTTTTTATGGCTAAATTATGCCTAAAAAAATTCTAAATGCGAGTCTGACTCGTGCACTAAGAATTTAGACACTTGGCCTAAGAAAAGGCCAAAAAAATAAAAATTATTATCAAATAAAAATGCATTTAATATTTAAACATAATTTATATATAAATAAAATAAGATTATATTATTTTTTACTTTTTTCCCTAAAATTTTATACCCAATTAAATTCTTCCTTAGGGGAAACGATCCCTCATTTACAACAATGTTGAAACAACTAAAAAGCTTACTAAAATTATGTTAATTCTTATAAAATTATTCATTTGATTGTTAATTTGTAAAACACAATACAAAATACACGTATAAATTTCGAATAAACATTAAAAATACGATTTCTGCCATCAAGATAAACAATTACCATATTAATTATTCGAAGGTAAAAGAAAAATATAAAACACAGGTGGATGGTTTGTGGTAGTAGCAGGTATAATAGATATATTTTGTATATCATTATTTTTGTAAAAGATAATTATTAGTTGGGAGGCTAGTGGAAAATTTATACCAAAATTTACCCATATAAATTACCCATATTTCAAAGTCCCTCTATGGGTATACCAAGTTGTTGTAGGGTCTTTTTGTGTTAGAAAATGTTTTATTTTATATAATTTTGTACAAATTTGTCTAATGTTATTTTTACTTTTTGCGAATAATTTATAAGTTACAGGAGATATAACGCAAAAAGTGCGTATTTAAATTTGCCAATCATCAGTGTTAGTGGAAACTTGAACATTTTGCATTTTTAAAATTCGTTTATAAGTATACTGAGTTGTTGTAGGTTAAAATAGTGTTAGAAAATGCTTTAGTTTATTCAATTTTGTACAAGTTTGTCTAATATATTACTTAATTTGCTCAAGTAGTTTAAAAGTTATATAAATAAAATCATACAATTGCGTATTTAATTTTGTTAATTGTTCAAATATTATAGTATATTTAATTTTGTACAAATTCGTCAAATATAGTTTTTACTTTACTCAAATAGTTTAAAAGTTACAAGAGACATAACGAATAAGTACACATTTGAATTTGTTGATTTCTATCAA